CTGTGAGGTGTGCCCAGAGCCCAGCCCCAGGCCCGCTCGGTGCCCGCTCTCCCGTGGCTCCTGCCTGGGCGCCTGGCAGGGGCTGAGCCATGTGGGGCACGGCCTTGTCCAGAGGGCCCACGCAGGCGCCTGGGGCCAGTCGACGCGGCCATCGGCCCGTGGGGCAGAGGGGGGTGCTGGGTGCAGCGTAGAAGGGGAACTTGTCCCTGGCAGCCCGGCTCCCCTGCCAGACACGGGGCAAGGGCTGGGTGGGGATGGGGGAGCTTCCCTGGGGCGGCAGGAGGCAGTGGGCCCTGTGCCGGGTGCAGCCCAGCACTGCAGCTGCCCAGAACTGCCCGGTCTGGGAGCCCCGTGAGGGCAAGGGTTGGAAAAAGACCTGGACTATGGTGAAGACCTGGGCTGCAGGCACAGCCCCAGCAGACAGGCCAAAAATGGTAGCTGCGTACGGGACCTCTCCTCCTCCTTGGCATGATGCCCCAGCGGGCTGCTCTGGGGTTTGGGAGCGGTGTCCCTGAGACTCCTCCTGCACCCCAGGGAGATCCCGTTCCTACCGGGCTGTGGTGTCCAGGTAGGTGTCAGAGATCGTCCAGATCATCTTGTTGGTCAGGACTGAGTCCCGTCATGCAGAGGCAGATTAAGATTTATTGAGGCCCAGGCCCTGACCCTCAGCAGTGGGATGCACTGCCCCCCAGGCCCGGAGCAGGACCCATGGCCGCCTCTGCTCACACTTACATGGTGGAGACGGAGTCCGGGGCTGATTGCGCAGTATCCCGCACAGCATTGCCCCACAGCTGAGCAGCACTGGGGGTGTGGAGCCACTGCACGTTGGGGGCCTGCATCATGGTTTAGCTCCGGAGGTGGCCCCTCGCCCTGCCACAGCTCAGTCCAGCTGCAGCAGCACCCAGCAAACGTGCAGGATCGCAGCTAGGCTGGGCTGGGACTCGGCTGCACTAGACCTGACTGCATCTTCGGTAGGTCAGAGCCACACACCGTGCCCTGCTGCTGGTGGCTCGGGCCACTCCCAGGGCTCTGGTGTGATTGTTCCCTGTGCCCCACCCAGTACCCTGCAGCGACAGCCCGCCTTGTCTCATGCCTGGCCCAGTCTGGCAGCCAGTTTCATCCACACCGAGCTGCCCTCCATGCCAAACCTCCAGGTATCTGGGGAGTCCCGTGCATTATCCACCTATGCTGTCTGTCAGGGCCTGGGATACATGGGTCTTTGTGCCACAAGCCTCAGTTTCCCCAAAGAAAGTGCCCGCCCCTACCCCATGACCCTACCCTATGTACCTGCACCCTGGGGTCATGTATCCACTTCCCTGTCCCCGATAAGGCTCCAGTGCTGTTCTGCACTGCTGCTGCCTGCCCTGCCCTCAGTCTGCGTTTGTGCAGTAAGTGCCCTTCAACTTTGCACTTCAACCCATAGGAGGGCATGGGAGAAGGCTCCCCAGGAGGTCACCTCTGGTCCCCTCTGCTCCAGCAGGTTCATCACTATCCAAACTGCACTAGAAAGTTTGTTTAACCTGTCTTTAAACAATGCATGAGTAGCTCTCCTGCGCAGCTGTGAGGCAGAGCCCAAAACACTAGGGACAGCCTGAGCTGCCGAAGGACAGCCAGGGAGATGAGGGCACTGTCTGTGTCTTGCCGCTGCAAGGATCCCCTGAGAGACCCCGGGAAGAGGTCCGTGCCTGTCCTCATCCCCTCATGCTCATAAAGAGCAAGGCCCTGAACCCTGGCCCTGAGTCAAGGGGCAAGATCCCCAGCCGGGAGCCTGCAAGTGCACGTCCCAGCAGGAGCCTTGGCACAGCCCGGTCCACATCCCCATCCTGGGCTGCAGCCAGCACCCAGCGCCTCTGGGGGAGGTAAAGAAACCGTCACAGCTGTAACAGTCCCACGCGGTGACCAGCAAAGCCCAGCGCCCTCCGCTCTGCCCTCAGCCAATGCAGCTTTGCCCTTGGCAGCCTCCAGCTGCAGTCAGGACTCCCCTGGCCGTCACCTCACCCCTGCCAAGTCTCCATAGCTCATCCGTCCTGTGTCATAAGCAAGGGGGTTGTGGAGCACTGCCCGGTTCTGCTGCAGCTCAGCCCCATCCTCTCCGAGCTTCCCCTGCCCTGCATTGCAGAGCTCTTCCCGGGTCTCCAAGTGGTGCAGGTGTGGGGGCTCCTGGGCTTCCCGGTGGACTCCTGCACTGCTGGCTGCTCACTGTGGCCCTTCCTCCTCTGGGTATTTACAGACTGACTGTTAGAATGAGAGAAACACAGAAAATGAGGGTGGGAAGGGACCTCATGAGGTCATATCTAATCCAACTGGATCAGTCTGGGCAGCTGGAGTCTGCCTTCCCTTTGCTGCTTGCTTGTGGAGCCATGCGGCCACGGAGCTGTGCTCACGAAGCTTGCCCACAGAGCTGTGCAGCTAGCCGTGGGAAGGCAGCACAGGGTGCAGCAGTGGTGGGGAAGGCAGCACCGGGGGGGTGGCACTCGCACCCAGCAGCTGCCACTGCACCACCGCCACCACTGCCGTGCCCCACGCTGCCTTCCCATGGCTAGCCACACAGCTTCGCAGTCCAGCTCTGTGGACACAGCTCCACCGCCACACAGCTCTGCAGGCAAGCGGCACAGGGCAGCGGTGCCCCTCTGCAGGCCACGCACAAGCTGGCTGGCCAGGGGGGAGGCCACCACCACACCACCTCTGCTGCTGTCGCACCCCGTGCCGCTTGCCTGTGGGGCCGCAGAGCTGTGTCCACAGAGCCATGCAGCCGGCTGCAGGAAAGCAGTGCAGGGCACGGCAGTGGTGGTATGGTGGCAGCCACTGCTTGCAAGACCCCTCCTTCCCCCCACCTGACCAGATGGCTGGCTTGTGTTGGCCCTCAGAGGGGCACTGTTGCCCTGCGCCGCTTGCCTGTGGAGCCACCACCACCTCACTGCCACGGCCACTCCCCTCGCTGCCTTCCCGCACCCTCCGCACAGCTCTGCGGGCAAGCTTTGCAGCCACATGGCTTCACGGGCAAGCGGCGCTGCGTGGGGTAGAGCAGTGGTGGAAGGCTGGTGGCAGTGGCAGCCACTGTGTGCGAGCTCCCTCCCCCTCCTCCAGCCTGTGTGCGGCTTGCAGAGGGGCACCACTGCCTTCATCCCTCTGGCCTTGCTCCTGGGAGTGGGCACAGACACACACTCCCCACCATTCTCAATCTGCACCCCGCAGGCCCTTCCCTTCCCTTCTCCCCACACACACTTACATCATCTCAAACTGACCACTCCTCAAGTTATACCTCAACTTTTTAGATAAAGTACACTAGTTCTATTCCGTTTTCAGTTTCCTTTCCTTCTAGGGAAACTACTTACTGTACCTGGTTCCTCCACCACACAAACCACAGCACTCACTTTTTCCAGTACCTTATAAGGAACCCTGTACAATTTAACTGCTTAGTTCCAGGAAGACCTGAAGTTATACCAAGAGCCTGAATGTAACTCAGTTTGCCTGTTACAGGTGTGGCAGAAATGCCCCCATCACTGCCCCTCTCCAGAGACCTGTCTCAGCCAGCCTGAGAGGCTGGTGTTGAATCCCTCACAGCGGGGATCTCGCTCCTTGTCTGCAGACAAAAGCCTGGCACCTGGGAGGCGATGCTCTGGTCACCTGGGCAGGGGGGGGAAAAGCCCGGCCCTGCGCGCGGGCCCAGGTAGCCAGGGATGCTTGGTAGATTGGTCGGTTTGTAGCCAGTATTGGCAGCTTCGATTGGACCGGGCTGCTGAGGTCAGAGAGGTTATTTAAGGGCCCGGGCCAGGAAGAAGGTG